TTTTTGCTGAGGAAGACTGGCCCTGGGCTAACATCCATGCCCATCTTCCTCCACTTTATATGGGACACCGCCACAGCATGGCTTGACAAGAGGTGCATCAGTGCGTGCCTGGGATCCGAACTGGCGAACCCCAGGCCGCCGCAGCGGAGCGTGCACACTTAACTACTTGCGCCACCTGCCGGCCCAATGTGTTCTATTTTTAATTCTTTCGGTGTTTCCCTGTTTTCTATATTTTCTGGTTTATTGTTATTGATTTTGTTTATTCTGCCAAATTTTGTCATGTAAATTATTTTTAAACTACACCTCGTTTTTCAAAACATGTACATAATAATTTACTAAGTGTTTTCATCTCCGTTTTTATTTGATCATCTGATTTGTGAAATAACTTGAAATCTTTACTCTTTGGTTTGTGAAAACAACAGAACCAAATCTCTGTCATTAGAATGTGTAGTTTGAGATGATGTTCAGAGTTGAATGTGTGGGTTTGTTCAGAGCCAGCCGTACACTCCTGTTATCATTTTGTGACCAGCTGCAAACCTTTCTAAGATGGCTTCCCCTGACAGGGTCAAGTATATGACTAGGAAAGATTTTCCTCCTTGTGAGGCTATTATTAAGTTCAGTAGTTACTCTTATTTACTCTTGCTGTAACTGAGCTAAGTGGTGTAGCAATAAGCATATCCCAGCATTTCTGTGTTTTTAATGTGCAATACTGATTTGGACTATTCTTGGGAAAGGTGCTATGGCTCACATATGTCAGTGTTTGTTAGCCAGGGGACTGTCTTTAGTGTGCTTGGGAAAGTCACTGGGTGTGTCAGGTTGACGCAGGTAGATCCTTAGATGCATGGTAAATCCATGCCATTCAAAACCAAATGACCTTTGCAGAGAAAGAGAGGTTTATGTGGACCTCAGGAACAACAATGCTGACCTAGGTTGATGACCTTGGGGGTGGAATTTTGTTTCAGACAGAGGCCACTCACAGTACCAGAATGACGGTCAGAATGACACTATCTGGTTTAGAGTGGACATTGCTGATTTCTGTTTTAAACAACCATTTAAGATATAATTCTTTTAAAGGTCATCTCTGTAAACTGAAAAGCCTTTAAAGAAGGGACAGGAATCACCACAGGATATTTAAATCTCAGGAGTCCCAGTAACCTCACATTGAACATAAACTGTTAACTTATTCCACAACTAAATTACAACTTGGTACTTCTGAATTGCAAAGTGATTGCTGCAAACTATCTTCAAGGTAGCTGCAGATTGAAAATAGATCATTCTAAAGGTAAGTCAGTAAAATCTCTTGATAATGGATATCCTAGATCACTTGTGTGCCTGAGAAAATAAAAGGTGATGTTTTATTTCCCTTCTCTCTTCTCTTTCTTTCCCTCTATAATTTACTGGATAGAGAGGCATATTGCATGGGAGGAAGTGATTCAGGAGGAAGGGAGGACATGCTCCTAAAAGTGGGAATGCTGATAATCGACCCCAGAAGAGGGTGGTTGTGGTTATGGCAGAGGCCCTGTGGAAAAATGATTCTGATGTCGTACGTTGCAGTTACTCTTCAGTTTTTGGGGTTTTTTTTCCCCTAATACCCCTGAGTCATGAATTGCCAGTCAAACAATTGTTAGTTGTTTGTCCCGGGCTGCGGAAATGTGTATGATGCCTTTCAGAATGTCAAAAGACTTACCAATCTAATTTCCTGTTGATCTCTACCTTGTTTCCATGATTGTTTCCTTGAAAGCACATTCCAGCTGCCATGAGATTTTCATCTTAGCACCTAGAATAACAGCAGTCCTTGTTTATTTTTAGTGGATCCAATGCTGTCATACATACACCTTTTGTAGCCATTTTGGGTCAAAATTGTTTGCTAGAACACAAAATAGGCCAAACAGGGCAACCGCATGTTGCAGACTGCTTTTGCCTGGGGTGGTGCAGAGGGCCGCTCACTGTATAGTGTATGTAGCGTATGTATGTAGCGTATGTGTGTGTTGGCAGTGTGTGTGTAGTGTGCTCATTACCCAGGATTGCATAGTACTTTCCGCCGTGCTTGCCCTCCTTGGTTGAGGGTGCCTGTCAGCACTGAGTATGTGGGGGAAAACATATATTAATAGTATACTGTATTAGAGTTAAATATTGAACATGTTTAGGAATAGCATTATATGCGTGTGTTAAAACAGGGTATGTGTATGTGGCAAATTGAATCATTCTGCCATGTTGCAACAAAGTTGATTATCCAAATTGAGCAATTACTGATATTACTGTCTTAAAAGAGACTGATATTCTGTAGGGAGACCTGCTGGATGAAAGGCTTAATTAAAAGTCACAAAATATGCATAGAAGTTGAAAAGAGAGTAGAATATGTATTGAATCAAAAAAGAATAATTTGAAAATTACAAAATTCTTGGAGTAGATGTACAATTAGAGTGGTATGTTTTAATGTAAGTATATGTATCCTAGGGTGCATAAAATTCATGACCACTATAAAGTAGTAGAAGCCCAGAGGGAATTCTTTGATTCTGTCTTTGTTAGTTGAAAGCCGTTTTCAGTAGAAATGTTTTGAAGCATGGCCTGTCGCATACTCATCATCTCTTACAGTCCTGCACTAAGTTGACCTTAGCAGGCAGGACAGGGAACTGAGGAGTTTTCCACTAAGTTTTTTCAGTTCATTACTCTGATTTTAAGTTAGTTAACTGTTTTTGTGTCATCACATTTCTACTTTAAATATTCAATAGAACAGCTTTGCTTGGAATCAGCGTTCTAGGCAGGTTTCGTAGCAGTGCATTAAATTATTAGATGGACTTGGAAGAAAGTCTGGGAATGTTGAACCTGAGAGCACCTTCTTCCCTCCACTTGGCTGCTGGGATCTGCAGACTGCTGGGTGCAGATGAGGTCTTGCTGTCTGGCGGGGGTCTTGGCAGAGAATACCAGAGCGTGGGTCTCTTCTACATGGGCTGGCAAGTGCTGGGAGGAAAGACTGGAGAGCTGCAGATCTTGGGGAGACTTCAGCTTTGAAATCTGTGGGCCTCTGAACGCAAGTTTGATATTGGCTCCACCAAAATGTGTCATTTCTCTCTGACCTCCAAGAGGCTGAGAAGGACCTGAATGGTCTGAGTGTCCCCTGCTGCCTGAGGAGGAAGAGAATTCAGGAAGACCATATCCAGAGAAGCTTCCTGCAAACTTCCTCCAAGGCGTTCACAGCCTGCCTACTTCACATTCCACCATTGGCATTTCTGATGTCTCCTGTTGACTGTAGCATTGTTCTTAGTGTCAAACAACTGGAAACAATGTGAACACAGTTCACAGGAGTGGCTGAATAAATTATGGTACATCTGTACCATGGGAGGTTGAGCAGCCGTTAGAAAGGAAGAACTAGATGTATCCAGTAAATTAGAGGAATTTCCAGGAAGTGTTGTTTTGTGAAAGAAACAAGACACAGAAAACTAAGTACAAATACTGCATTTTTGTGAAAACGTCCTATCTCCTTTTTCTATGCATGCGTTTATGTGAGTTTGTGTGCATGTGAATATGTGCATCCTCCCGTATAGGATTAAATAAGTAGGGAGAAAAATATAGAAGGAAACCCTACTAGTTTAAGATGGATTACTTTGGTGGTGGTGGGGAGCGGTGGGGGGGGACTAGTGGAGATGGAATGAAGAGGAGAGAGAACGAAGGTAATAAAGCCAAACAGGAAAGAAAGAAATGCGCTCATGTTTTTTAAAAAGGTGAAATGGACCTATATTCCTTTCTTTGGCATGGTAGAAGTCATCCTCTTATTAAAACATCCCGACTGATAGTCATTCTGCTCAAGACTTGAGGTAATGTAGACCAGTGTTGAAGAGTGCCCTCTCTTAAGGCTGAGTGCCAATGTTCAAATCCCAGCACCACCGTTTCTGGGACACGTGATCTCAAGAAGTGCAGTTACTTTACTTCTTTCTGTGCTTTGGTTTCCTCACCTGGATAATAGCCTGCCTCGTGGGGTAATTGTGAAAATTAAAGAGGTTAATACATGTTAAGTGCTGAGAGTAATACCTGGTGGTAGGTAGTAAGTACACAATAAACATTAGCTATTATTACCAGAGACCAACCTGTTAGGAGTTGAGAAACACTTTCAGTATTTGAGTGGGCATTTGGCAGACTACGTTGAATTGGTCATTTATGGGCCAGGGTAGGGGAGAGTATTAAAATTCTTACCCGTCTCCTATCTTTACAGAGTAGAGTGAAGTTGGAAAGACAACATGTATACAAAATGACAGCTACAAATATGTGCAGGGTAAGATCTCTCAGTGTAAAAGTTAGTGTGGCACAAGCTGAGTAGTGAAAGGAATACTTAGATCCTTGAATGTGGGTAGAGGTCAGGGAAGCTTTCTGAAGAAGGTATATGTTTTTAGTTTGTGTTTGCAGGTAGGGACTGTAAAGTGCATGGTACGCAAAGGGGTATCTGACCAAAAAAGACTAAGAAACACTGAGGTAAAAAGTGAAAGCTGTGTGAAAAGATAGGAAGCTTATCCCTTTCTTTACGTCGTTTGAATTGGTGCATTGGTATATTTGTGCCTCTGCTCTTTACATTTCGTATACTCTGTTCATATCTATGAACCTTGTGGCTTTCTAAATGCTAGAAAAACAGATTTAGCCAAGGAATGCTGTAATTTCTCCTACTTCATACTATTCGAAGGATTTTGTTTTGTTGTGTTTTTTTTTTGAAACATAAAGGATGTTTTAGTCTAGTAAGTTTTTCCCCAGTTGACTACTTCGTGCACTAGTGGCTCTTTTAATTTTTTAAGCCAACACATAACTTGGACTTGTTATATGAATTCATATCTTATGAATTATCC